TTGCTATGGTTGACAAAGGACAATGGAGCAGACAAATTCACCCTAAAAATCAGCAGCAATGGAGAAGGCATCAAGAGGAAATGTGGCAGTTAGACAAACACATGATTTCCAACACATTAGAGTTTTAAGGGGATAAAGAATTAAGCAGGAAGCAGCAGTGGCAGGTCGAACACAAGACAAAAAAAACAAAATGAAACGAAACAATCACCCTTAGTGTCATCAAACTCATTTTCAAACACATACTCTTGCCCTAACCCCCGTTCCTCCTATCGGCCTTGCCGCCCTCATATGTAACAATTCCAGGAAAATGATTGAAAAGTAAGCTCCTTGGCCATAGGGCTGGGTTAGGCTGGGCTGCCAGAGTGTGTGTGCAGTGATTTGATAGAGTCATTAAATTAAAATTTAGTAATTTAATTTAATTGTTATCGAAATAAGTTTTTTGGTAATAGAATGAAATTAGCCTGATTTTAATGAGTTGTTGTTTTTTTACTGTTTAATTTATTGGCTTTGCAATATTTAAAAGGCAAAGGAACATATGTGACGGGGGAGGCCAAAGACATTATGCAAAATAGATTACCAAAAAACAGAGATTTGGCTAATCTAGAAGCGAAATTGAAAAATTCTTTTGCAGTCATTATTTTGAATTGAATTCGATTTGTTTTAATTCGAATTACATGGAAATTATATTACTGTGATAAATAAGAAATTGAAAAAAAAAATAAAATTCTCGCTAGTTAAAATAAAAATGAATAAAAAATCAGCGCCTGTTGAAAGACCCTGAAAAAATATTTTTAAAAAATCCACGCCTGTGGAAAGACCCTGAAAAAATATTTTTTTTAAAAATCCACGCCTGTGGAAAGACCCTGAAAAAATATTTTCAAAAAAAATTTTTAAAAAATCCACGCCTGTGGAAAGACCCTGAAAAGATATTTTTTAAAAAATCCACGCCTGTGGGAAGACCCTGAAAAAATATTTTTTTAAAAAATCCACGCCTATGGGTAGACCCTGAAAAAATATTTTTAAAAAACCACGCCTATGGGTAGACCCTGAAAAAATATTTTTAAAAAATCCACGCCTATGGGTAGACCCTGAAAAAATATTTTTAAAAAATCCACGCCTCTGTAAAGACCGATAACAAAATAATTTTCTATTCTACATAGAATAATACATCAACAATCGCTTCGAAAAATTTGTCGGCGGTATAAATATCTCTAAGCACTCCTCAGGGTCTTTAAGTCGCTTTAAATTCGATTTTTTTAGCTGACAATTCAAATTCGTTGCAAAATATAAAATAAATTATTTTTCCAATTAATCTGAATATGAGCATTTAGCTCACGATTACTTGCAAGGACCACTTCACAATTCATAAATATCAAAGGCATAACAAAATCGTCCTTTTCTTCCTTTGTTTGCCGCCGCAATATAACAGTTGCCTAATCATCAATTTTTTTGTTCATGGAAAACCAATTTTCAACTGCTTTGAAAATATTTTTCATCAAAAGCAAAAAATAAATCTTCTTTTTTGCAATTTAAATGCCAAATGATTATTTTTTCGAAATTTCTATGACCACTCACTCTCTCGCCCATCCTTCTCCCCTGGATATTTATCAGAAAATAAATAATTTCACTTATTTTCTTCTTCTTTGCTTGCTCCCATTTTTGTAAGAGATTAATGTGGGTTTGGGGTCATTCAAATCGTATTGAATTTGCTTGTTTGTTATCATGAAATTTACTTTGCATTATTTCCACGAACAACAACAACAAAGGCCTGGAAGGCAACCACCAGCCAAGTCATACAAATGAGAAAAAAATCTAATGGAACTGATAAAAATCGAAAAAAGACAAATCGCCACCCAATGGAATGTTAATAACATCATCACCTTATCGATTAAAATTGTTTTCTTCCAAGATTAATTTTCAAAAAAAAAAATACGTGTATAAACAAATTGAAAATGAAATTAAAGTAGAGCCTCGCGAGTCATTACTTTGATGGATAAAATGTAGGACATAAATAAGATAAGAGAGCGGAAGGAAATAAGTTTCAAAAGTGGGAAGGGAAACATATAAGATTTTCAGAAATATTTTTTGAGGTACCCCAAGGCGTGGATTTTTGAAAAAGATGTTTTTTGAGGTACCCTAAGGCTGCGATTTTTAAAAGAAATATTTTTTCGTGGAGCCCTAAGGAGCTCTAAGGCGTGGATTTTTAAAAGAAATATTTTTTTGAGCTACCCTAAGGCGTGGAAAAGGAGCTCTAAGGCGTGGATTTTTAAAAGACATATTGTTTTGAGCTACCCTAAGGCGTGGAAAAGGAGCTCTAAGGCGTGGATTTTTAAAAGACATATTTTTTTGAGCTACCCTAAGGCGTGGAAAAGGAGCTCTAAGGCGTGGATTTTTAAAAGACATATTTTTTTGAGCTACCCTAAGGCGTGGAAAAGGAGCTCTAAGGCGTGGATTTTTAAAAGACATATTTTTTTGAGCTACCCTAAGGCGTGGAAAAGGAGCTCTGTGGATTTTTAAAAGAAATATTTTTCAAGGACCACTGAGAGGCGTGGATTTTTAAAAGAAATATTTTTCATGGAGCTACCCTAAGAGAAATATTTTTCATGGAGCTACCCTAAGGAGTGGATTTTTAAAAGGAATATTTTTTTGAGGCGTGGATTTTTAAAATATTTTTGGAGGCGTGGATTTTTAAAAAAATTTTTAAACCGTGGATTTTTAAAATATTTTTTTAGTCGTGGATTTTTAAAATATTTTTTGAGGCGTGGATTTTTAAAATATTTTTTGAGGCGTGGATATTTTCAAAGATATCTCAAGGCGTGGATTTTTTCAAAGATATCTCAAGGCGTGGATTTTTTCAAAGATATCTCAAGGCGTGGATTTTTTCAAAGATATCTCAAGGCGTGGATTTTTTCAAAGATATCTCAAGGCGTGGATTTTTTCAAGGATATCTCAAGGCGTTGATTTTTTCAAGGATATCTCAAGGCGTGGATTTTTTCAATGATATCTCAAGGCGTTGATTTTTTCAAGGATATCTCAAGGCGTTGATTTTTTCAAGGATATCTCAAGGCGTTGATTTTTTCAAGGATATCTCAAGGCGTGGATTTTTTCAAGGATATCTCAAGGCGTGAATTTTCAAAAGAAATATTTTTTGAGGTGTGGATTTTTTCAAAGATATCTCAAGGCGTGGATTTTTTCAAGGATATCTCAAGGCGTTGATTTTTTCAAGGATATCTCAAGGCGTTGATTTTTTCAAGGATATCTCAAGGCGTGGATTTTTTCAAGGATATCTCAAGGCGTGAATTTTCAAAAGAAATATTTTTTGAGACATCTCAAGGCGTGGATTTTTCCAAAGATATCTCAAGGCGTGGATTTTTTTCAAAGGTATCTCAAAGCGTGGACTTTTAAAAGAAATATTTTTTATGGAGCCCTAAGGTGTGGATTTTTAAAAGAAATATTTTTTAAGAACCCTAAGGTGTTGATTTTTAAAAGAAATATTTTTTTCTCTTCACTATTCTTCAATTCCCAAAATTATGACATAATAATGCGATACACCTTACATTCACTTTTTTAAATGATTGGCAAAAATATAATTATTTTTTGCCAAACAAAATGATTATTTCATTCACTTTCAGTTATTAGTTTCAATATTTTCGATTAAGCCAAAATATTATTCTTGGCTTTTAAGGCATCATCAACCAACACCTCCGCCACCACCTGGGAGTGGATTCCTACACCAAAAAAACTGAAATAATTGATTTTGAGAATCAATACCTATTATTTTCGCTATTTTATTTACCAGCTATTGTTTGGTGGCTGGGGTGGAAGCAACAACAACAAAATAACATAATTATAATAGAAAAAATACAACAAAAGCAACAAACTACATAATTGATTGAAAGAGTAAATGAAGACCATGACAAATCGGTAAGAAAAAAAAAAACAAGAACTGAAAATACGCCAAAATAAATAAATGTTTCATTAACAAAATGCATTTTTTTGTTTAATAAATAAATGGAAAAAATTGCAAAAATAAAAAAACACAATACCCACTATCTTTTGTTATAATTGTTTAATAAAGAGAATGAGCTATGGCAAACTTAAAAAAATCTATCCATCCATCAATAGTTAGTTCTTCTATACCCAAAAAAAGAACCAATTTCTTGGGCGTAGAGTTTGCCAAAAAATATAATTATGTTAATAATGAATGAAACGCCATGGCAAAGAGGAACCAATAACAAAAAAATTAAAGAATACAAAAACAACAACAACACAAAAAATGCTCCAAAATCAAGTACTTGAATCTTTGGCTTGGGCTTGTCTAGCTGAGGGGGTTTTCATTTATGGTAGCGTATTTCTTGTTTTTGTTGCTGCTATTTTTAAAAAATTCATATATTTGAATACCACATCTGAGTGACTGACTGAGTGACTGGCATAACGGATAGATGCTAATAATGAAGATGAGGGAGATGCAGATAATGATGATCGCTGCTAAATGGTGAATAAAGCAGCAGCAAACAAAAATAAAACCCAACGAAAGAAGAAGAAAAAAAACGTCTCAAGAATTGTTTTTGATTTATGAAGAGTGGCTATAAAATTGGCTTACACAAGTAGTTAAGTTATTAGTAGCATAATAATAACCATACAAACAACAAGTACAAAACATCCATCCACCGCCCAATAACAACAACGCCATGAGAATTGTAAGGATTTTTTCTTTCATTAAAAAATTAAAAAAAATCCTCCAAAGAAATCCATCATCAATTTTTTTATTTCCATTCCAGTTCCTTTCTGTGTCTTGTGTCCTCCTGGGTCTGACGGCCTTTGCCTCAGCTGGCCGTCCTTCGGCCAGTTATTTACCACCAAGCTATGCACCAGTGGGTGCTGCCGGTTCGAATCAATATCCCAGATATCATGGTGTAAATAGTGTTGCACCCAACCGTCCCGTGCATCATACTGCCGCCGCCATTGCTGCACCTGTCGCACCAGTTCATCATGGATCTCAATATGCTCAGAATCGGGCTGCTGCACAAATTCCCATTTTGCGTAGTGATTACAACAATGACGGCAATGGTCATTATAATTTTGGGTAAGTGAAGAGTAATAGGGATTTTAAAAAAGGATAAAAAAAGTGATCCAGAATTAACCACAAGAAATTAAAAAAAAAATATTTTTTCAATTAATTTTAGGAGTAGATTTTTAAAAGATATATTTTTCTAAGGAACCCAAGGCTTGGATTTTTAAAAGAAATATTTTTTTAGGGACCCTTAAGGCCTGGATGAAACATAAACATATTTCTTCAAGGAACCTTATGGGAACCTTTAGGCGTGGATTTTTAAAAGAAATATTTTTTAGGGAACCTTTAGGCCTGGATTTTTAAAAGAAATATTTTTTAGGGAACCTTTAGGCCTGGATTTTTAAAAGAAATATTTTTTAGGGAACCTTTAGGCCTGGATTTTTAAAAGAAATATTTTTTCAAGAACCCTAAGGCGTGGATTTTTAAAAGAAATACTTTTTAGGGAACCTTTAGGCGTGGATTTTTAAAAGAAATATTTTTTAGGGAACCTTAAGGCGTGGATTTTTAAAAGAAATATTTTTTAGGGAACCTTTAGGCGTGGATTTTTAAAAGAAATATTTTTATTTATATAATAACAGCAATGAGTGGATTTTTAAAAGAAATGTTTTTATTTATATAATAACAGCAATGAGTGGATTTAAAAAAACATTTTTTTAAAAATTTCAAGGATTTTTTAAGGACCCCCAAGGGTCTTTAAGTGTTTTTGTACAAAGAAACATATGGCTTCGATGAAAAATGGGTTTAAAAGACATGAGGCTTCGATAAAAAAATGTTTTTAAAAAACCTCAAGGCTTCGATTAAAAAATATGTATTTTTAAGGCCTCACGTAGCGAAATTTTTTGTAAAAAAAAATTCGGGCTAGCCGAAATTAAGAACATATTTTTGTGCTATTTTAAACATTTTTTAATTAAAAAATATTTTACCACAAGGCTATGATTTTGAAAATTATATTTTTTTAAAACCAGCGGAATTCTATTTAAAAAATAAAAGAACCAAAAAGCCCAGGTTTAAAAAGTCCTCTTTTAAGGCCTCAAGTTGAGGGCCATTTAGTATAAATATTTTTTCAGGGAACCACAAATCAAATAAATATGGTTTTGGGGCTATTTTTTAGATATTGTTTTAACAATCCGCACGTCCAGTTTTTTTAATAATATATTTATGAAATAAAACATCCGTTTTTTGAATATCCCATTTTCCGTCCAAAAAAATAATTTCTACCAAACGTCAACTCGATTATTTTTAACACCTTTTTTCAAAATTATTTTGTTCTGAAAATTCCTAATAAAAAATGTATCCCCTTTTCCTCTTCAGCTTCGAAACCGGCAATGGCATTAAACGCAATGAAAATGGCGAACTTCAAGGTGGTTGGCCACATGGTTCATTAAATGTGGCCGGTTCTTATTCCTACACTGGTGATGATGGCAAGGTCTATTCGGTTAACTATAAGGCCGATAGCAATGGTTTCCATGCTGAGGGTGATCATTTACCCACACCACCACCAATTCCCAAGGAAATTCAAGAGTAAGTAATAAGTTTTTTTAATTTATTTTAAAAAAATCTATAAAAAAAATTGTCTAAATATTTTTATAGTGATTTTTAAAATTCATAAAATAATTAAAATAATTTTTAATAATTTTTTTAAAAAATTAAAAATTATTTTTTGAATTTTTTATAAATTTTAAAGAATTTTTTAAAATAATTTAAATTTATAAAAAAAATATTTATTTAAGATTTTTAATTCATAAAAAAAACCTCTCTTTTCTCCCCCCAGAACTTTGCATTTACATCAACGTGGCAACTCTGGTGCTGGTTCCCATTCCAGCTACTCAGCCGGTGGTCATCATGTAGGTCCTTATGCCTCCGCCGGCAGTCATCACTCACCTTCGGCCAGTTATTTACCTCCCGGACCCTATGGTAGACGTCATTGAAGCCCGCCCTACAAGTAATGGATCTCTGCTTTCTTTCTCCCCCTAAGATGAATAATTTATGAGAGTTAAGAAATTAAAGCCACATATTTTTTTCTACAAAAAATTAAAAAAAAAAAATTGTTAATAAAACTTATTTTGGAATTCTATTTGAATTGAAACACCAACCCAACCTCATTACAAGACCGAAAAATGGGGGGATTTTTATTGAAAAACTTTTCTGTTGCCGATACAAAATTTACTGCTTAGTGTGAAGGTTGGCAGAAGGATGTGGTGAGGGTGTTACCAAAGCAACAACATCAAAGAGCATTTCAAATGTCTGTCCTATGCAAAAAAATTCCTAGTTAATTTCGAATGGAAATAAAATATAAGAAATTGAAATCAAGCGCTAATGGCAAAAAAGGGTTGACGATTTACGGAATTTCTCTTATGCTCCCAGAGCTTTAATTTTACTCCGAGTTTCTATGGCTCTTTGCATTGTTTTAGGAAGAAAATCCTGAACTTTAATTTTATTTATTGATTCTTGGTCACTTTAGATTGCTTTGGCTTGGAAAATTATTGGCAAAACTTGCAACTTCTAAGTAAAATCGAAAGAATACCTTTTAAATCTGCAAATTCGATTTCTCTTCCTCCAACACAAAAATCAAAATTTTTTCAAACTTTCCCCAAAGCCTTTTAAAGGTGCTAAATACTTACTTTAGGAAAACTTTTTGGCAAATCTCAGTTTCTGATTTTTTTTTCGTTTTCTGTTAAAATTGTCAAGTGTTTCCCCAAAAAGTTGCATTGAAATCTCAGTTAATGCCTTGAAATCCTTTTCTCGAAAATTTATTACTTGAATTTACTTCCAAACAAAGGAATGACAGAATACTCAGCTGCACGGGCGAAGATGTCTTCCTTCACTTTTAGCTTTAGTGTAAAATGGAATATTTTTTATTGCACCACCATCACCACCAACGACACCAATACCACCACAAATGATTACTTTTCAAAATGCCGCATTAAAATCACGACATTTAGAAAATTCATAAAAAAGTAAAACAATGCAGTGGAGGAAGGGTTTCAAATGGAGAGAGAATTACATTGATGGGAGAGAGCGCGGGAAAGGAGAGAAAGCTTTTAGAAATTTAGTAGCTACAGTAAAAATAACGGTAATATTAATGTAATGAATTATTATTGTGTGTTGAATCCCAGTATTTCCTATAATAGTAGTTTTTTAATCAAATTTGTTGCCTACTTTTAGGAAGTCATAGAAAATGTGTGATAGATGTCTTCTACATCTGTTGTTTTAGAAAAAGTGAAAGGTTTTCATTAAAAAAGTACAACTTAGCCATTTTTTAGTATAAAAACACAAAATTCAGCAAAGTTTCATAAAAATCAACTAATCAAGGGGGTATTGCAACCGAAAACTCAATTAAGCAACGATAGAAAATATAATTTCAGCAAGGTTTTCTAATAGAAGCACTCTATTCAGCAAAATATTTTTATCAAAAATTCAATTCAACAAGAAACTCATTTCGGTTATGTTTTTTTATCTTTAGAAAAAATCAATTCAGCAGAGTTTTCGCCACAAAACTTCATGGTTTTTCCAAAAACCATAACATAATTCAGCAGGGGTTTCCAATAGAAAAACTCAAATGAATAAGATGTTTCCTATAAAAAATTCAATTCAGCTAGATTTTGATATGTAAAACTCCAATTCAGCAGAGATTTTCCTTATGAAAACTTAATTCAGCAAATATCTCAACACAAAAAGTCTATAGAAAAAAATATTTTTTTGGAGTGGAACTTAATTCTCAAAGATTTTGATTCCCTTTCTTAGGTAGAAATCAGGTCAACAGATCTGTTATATAGAAAAGCTCAATTCAGCAATGCTTTTATACAGAAAAAATGAACTAAACTGATTTTTCCTTCATAAAACTTCAATTCAGCAAGGCTTTTCATAGGGATAACACAATTCAGCAGGGTATTCAAATAGAAAAACTCAATTCTGTGGAATGTTATTATAGAATACATCAATTCAGCTAGATTTTTATATGTGAAACTCCAATTCAGCTAAGTTTTTATATCTAAAACCCCGATTCAGCAGAAGTTTTTTTTAGAAAACTTAATTCAGCAATGTTTTAGGCAGCATATTTCAACTCAGTTCGTAGTAAACTTAATTTTCTGCTAAAAAATCCTAATTCAGCAAGTGTTTTCTGTACAAAAACTCAATTCAGCAAAATATTCCTGCAGTAAAATTTAATTCAGCAAAGAGTGTTTTATAGCTATACTCTCTTTAATGCCATTTTCTACAGAAAAACGCAATTCAGCAAAGATTTTCTATAAAAATCCTATTTTTATTCATAAAAAAACTCAATTCAGCAAAATGTTTCTGAAGTAAAATTTAATTCAGCGAAGAGTTCTTTAAAGATTTACCATCTTAAACGTCATTTTCTATACAAAAACATAATTCAGCAAGGGTTTTCTGTAGATACCTACCATTCAGCAAAGTTTTTTGATTGGAAAACTGTGTCCAGCTAAGTTTTCTTATAGAAAAATCATTTTCAGTGAAGTTTTTCTATCAAAAAACCTCATTCAGCTAAGTTTCTAAGATAATATCTCAATTCAGCAAAGAGAATATGAATTCAGCAAAGCTTGTCTAAAGAACATTTTTTTTTTTAGAAAAATATATATTTGGCGAAATTTTTCTGTAGAAAATCGCAATTCAGCGTGTTTTCTAAGAGAATATTTCAATTCAGCAAAGAAAACACAAATTCAGCGAAGGTTGCCTAAAGAAAATTTCAATTCAGCAACATGTTTTCTATAGAAAAGTTTAACTATAAGTTTTTTGTAAAAAAATATAATTCAGCAAAGTTTTTCTTTTTATTGGCAATGCAATTCAGCAAAATGTTGATCCAAAATAGATACTGTTTACGGAGCAAATATTGTTAACCCTATTTTTTCTATGAGCATTTTTTACATTTTGTTTTAAACCTAAGCGAACAAAAACTGTTGCCTAATTTTAGGCGCTATAAATGTATTGGCTCTGTTAGTCATGAAAACATTTCTATTGTAGTGCTATTAAAAGTCTTGTTAGTGCGTTTTAAAACATAACCACATTATTTACATTGTCCTTAAAATTTTGTGATGTCCTTTCCGAAAAAAGAGACATCCAGGACAATAAACAACCCCCCAGAAAACAAGGATGCTTTGACACAAGAACTCCTTTTTTCTCGGTAATTTATGCTTTACATGTTACAGTTGCTGTCGATGTTTTAGTTGTTGTTTTATTACAAAATGTGCAACATCATTATTGTTGTGCCGGTGAGTGTGTGTGTGTGCGTTTGAAGGACAACAAGAGAAACGACTTTTAATTAAACTCCAAAATAGCAGCAACAATGGTATATAGCAACCACCCGCACTGTAAAAGGGAGAATACAGGCACACATACAAACACACATTGGGTGAGTGCTCACCCACAGAGAAAATGAAAAATGAGTGAGGATTTAAGCATGATTAAATTCCCCAAAAAATTATATGCAATTATTGACCTCTCTAACCCGAACGGGTGGGAGAGATTCAGGATGGGGGAACCCTCTCCCCCTTCTATGGAAGAAATTTGAATTTCAAAGATTTTTGTTTTTCAGATTTTATGATGTCTTACAGCAAGGACCAAAATGTCCTTGATAAATTGTCGATGCTGTCAAGTGTAAAAATTTTTATTTTTAACAATATTTAAAAAAAGACAAGAAAGACCTCCACAACGCCCTCTCATAAAAAAGGGCCCATCTTAGAAATAAAAGAAGAATGGGAATAATAAAAAACCAAAAACTGCTCGTTAAGAAATGTAAAAAAACGAAAGATTGGCTGTTCGTTACAGCTACGGAAACGTAAAGCTTTCTGCCATGAATGAAAGAGAAACTGTGAATTGTGTTTCCTTAACAAAGGAAATTGACTCAAGTAGACCAGCGGGTGATTTCCTTTAGTTCTGTGTTCTGCTCCGCAACAATAGAATAGAATCGAATAAAAAACTGTGTGGAGGAGAACAAAAAACCAAAAATAAAAAACAATGCAGCTTATAAAAGACTAAGGACTTAAAACAAAAATAACAAAAAATCCAACCACAAATTTTATTTAAAAATTGGCAATTCCAAAAAGGACGACATAATTGTTTCCTTTTTTTCAAGACAAACAAAAATTTATTGGCAGTAAATGTGGCAGCATTTTTTGGTATTGACATATCAAACAATAGGAATGTGTAACATAGATATTTTATATCATCTCCAAGGTATCTTCAGGACTAGCTCGAGAGAAGGGGTACTCCTTTATTTTTCTTCATGTACAACATTAATTGGTATCATGCCTAAATCCAATTAATATTTATTAAAATACAAATTTATTTCATCGAACATCTATGTAAACAGTACCAAGTTGCCCATAGGGACCCCACTAAGGCCACACAGGTATAGTTCCCTTTAATATCCTGTTTTGCCTACTTTGTACGCACACACTCACATAACCATCAATAACGTATGGTAAGTTATGCAAACTTTGACTTACATGCGTGTTTTTATTCCATCAATTCACTGCCAGGCAGAAAATAAATTTCCGCTAGGCTAACTTAGGGGCAGCTATTAAATGGATTATGCGAAAGTGAACAGTTTCGCGTAATGTCTGAAAGTTATATTGGAACAACTATTTGACATTTAGGGTAATGGTAGGTAATACTGACATTATTACACTTTGGATTTATGATAATGTCTTTGAAGACAGCAAGGAAACATAGATATTAATTAGGCACATAAGGGAAGACATCAATTCAGCTAAGTTTTTTCCGTTAAAATCGATTTTTTCCTATAAATTAAGCCATTTCGACAATTTGTTCTAACGAAAAAATCAATT